ATGTTCAAGTATACATTTCAGATCCCTGGCATGAAGTGCAACCTGGATTGATAAGGAATCTTAAAATAACCAATAGAATGCCAGGTTTTTGTTTTTAAATATGTTTACTCTGTAATAATTCTAAAGTGCACAAATTAGCAAAAAAATTAAATCTAAATTTAAACTAAATAAACTTTAAAAGTAAATTTTAAACTGAAACAAGAGGTCTTTCATAATCTACATACATAGGAGGGAGTAGGGGTTATTCAAAAAAATAGGCAGCAAGTTGAAGACTTATATTCATCAATAAATTTTAAGTTTCATAGTATAATCTCTTAGCGTTTTTTTTTCTCAGGCTCCAATCATTGCAATTTTATGCAAAGCATCTTTATTTAACATAAGTATAAACATATAAATGTTTAGAGTTTGTTCCATGCCTGGAAGTTAGCTCTCAAAGATAAAAAAATGCTGGATCTGCCCCTGCTAGCAGTAAGCCACCTGTAATATGGGTTATTAGTAATTAATTCATTAATAACTATAAAAACACATTATTAGCTTAATATCTTATCTAAAAAAATAAAATGAAATATAAATTTATCTATAAATAATAATTTAAGTTTGACTCCCTATCAGCAATCTCATCCCTTATAATTAGCAACATTAAAAGATTGCATTAACATCAGTTAAGTTCTTTTTAAAATCTGTCACAACACAGCAGGTATTAGAAAAGGAAAGTCAAGTAAAGCCTGCCAGTACCTAAAATAAGAAAAAAATAAAATAAAATCCAATTTTCACTTGAAAATGTATTATTTGCATTTTTATTGTTAGTAGGATTGGAAAATAATAAAGAATATTTATGAAAATTTAAAGAATAAGAAAATAGCCTAGCTCTATCAACACAAAAGAGAGTAACAATAATATAATATATTTGTTAACACACATTGCTATATGTCTCCATAATAATTAAAAAAGAAAAGATTATAAAAAGGCTAGACAACACAACATAATAACGCTGTCAAATAACACCACAACTCAATAAGATATTTTATTAACTAAAAGGCTTAAACTAAAAAGATTTTATTTATTACAATATTTGAACAATCGAGGGACAATTATAGTTAAACAATTTGAACAATTATATCATAAAATAGCTAGCACTTTGTAAAATATTTATTATACAGGTAGTTATTATTTGTGGTATTAAGAAATACGTAAAAGCTCAGTAGTTACATAAGTTTTATCAATTCTCCCTATACTTATTTTCATTCAAGTCTCATAAGAGAGAGATTGGGAGAGAAAGAATGTTTCCAAAGCAGCATGTTAAAAAAAAAGTAAAAAAAAACACGCAATAAATAATAGTAACTGGTTTTATTATGTTACCAGTAAACAAAACTATTTTTACTTTTATTATATAAAGTTCCAACCTTTCTCTAACTGTTGACTTTTTTTTGTTCTTTATTACATTTTAAACATGTCTTTATAAAATATAAGGTTTACAAGATAACAATAAAAAAGTAAATAATAATAAAAAATTTACAAAATTAGATTGATAAAAAATTAAAGAACCCAGGCACTTGTAGAAGACCATTAGGTTTTGTTGTCGAAAACTGCTAACATAAACGTGATAATTTCTTGTAATATTGGTTTTCTTGTAAAATTTGTAATATTTTCTTGTAAAATTTGTAAAATTTTCTTGTAAAATTTGTAATTAAACAAGTTAATTACAAATTTTTTCTATACAGAAAAGTCTTTTTAAACTATTTTAATCTGATATATATGCTATATATATGCGGTAGTGGTGTAGTGGTAAGAGCGCTCGCTTTGTAAGCAAGAGGTTCGGAGTTCGACTCCCTCCATGTCCCTGGAAGTACTGCGCTTAACTTAACTTTTTCTCTGTGCAGTGGCCTTGCTTGTCAAGGTTCTTGTTTCGGAGTTAAAGAGTTGAGAGAGGGTTGTACCACGTTTTACTACAAAAAAAAAAAAAAATGAGTAGCCTCCTCAACTGTAGTGGCCTCCTCGGGCCTTGGGGAGGTGAATAATTTAAAATTTTCTGGATATCCAAAACGTTTCCCATACATACAAGTTTAGGCATATATTTTTGTAATATTCTTCTTTTTAAGCTTTTTTCATTCATCACTTTTGAAAAAAAAATTAGAAACAATTCAGTTAAAAACAAAATCAAGAGGCAAATATATTTCGGACTTTTTCCGGATATTTTACCCAAACAATTTTCCGGATTTTTAAAATATGGTTTTGATGATCTATGTATATATCAAAAAAAAAAAAAAAATTGAAAAAGTCTCAGTATACATTTAAATTTTTAAAAGTTTTTTGATTAATAGAAGATAAAAAAGAAATATACAAATATATATGTTTATATATATATATATATGTTTATATATATATATATATGTTTATATATATATATATATATATATATATATATATATATATATATATATATATATATATATCAGGCTTGGTCGGGAAGCGGGAGCGATCGCTCTCGATTGCTGACCACGTAAAAAAAGCTGGCCATATTTTTTAGTCGTTTTGAGAACATTTTAAAAAGCAAAAAAAAAAAGTGCAAAAGATTAATTGGACCGATAAGAAACAATTACAAAAAAAAAAAATAAATTAGGCAAATAAAATATCTTTAAACGAGAAAAAACTTAAAGCTAAATAAATTACAATTAGAACAAATATTTTTGAAACATCGCTCTTTTGTAATTTTTTTTATAAAATTAAGAGATGTTTTTTATATAAAGTAACAACTTACGATTGTTTAAAAAAGAAACAAATGCTCTTTATTTAGCAAAGTTCGCAAGTTTTAGTTTTATTTAAGCTAAATTATTTTATAAATAAAAAAGTTAATTTTTTCAATACCTATTTTATGTTTCGCCTAGTTTGAAAAGTTTAGCATATTTGAAGCAATTCTTCTTAGTAAGATAAAAAAATGAAATAATGAAATCATTGAATTACTATAGAAATTAAATTAACAAGATAGAAATCAACTAAAAAGGTTAAAAATACTTTACGACGAGGAAGCGAAACTGCTTCACAATATCGCTGACAATGTTTAGTGAGTGGGCTTTTTAATTTTAATTAGTATTTAAAGCAGAAAAAAGTATAACGAGTTTCAAGGATAACAACTTAAGCGAAAATAATTAGAGTTGGTAAACCAATATATAGAAACTTTTCTTTATATCTAATTATTTGCTATATATATATATATATATATATATATATATTTGTGTTCTGTTGTGACCTCAGGCACGGTGCTTGTTCATCCGCGAGATACTTTGTATGCGTTGTTTGTGTTTAGTAACCAGAAACTTCTTATATGTTTGTCACATAATTAGTTTTATTAACTATAACGATTATAACTTCATTGAAAACGCAATTATTTTTGTAATTCTTTGTTTGAATCATAAAAATTGCTTTAAAAGATACATTACGATAAAAAACAGATACATAAAATTACATTTACAAAAAGAATACATACTTTTTCAATAAAAAATAAGAGTATACTAATAAAATCTATAATTTATATAAAACTTTTAAAATTTTGACAATTTAATATATATTTAAAATATTTATTTTTGTAAACAAATAATATATATTTTTAAAACAAGTAAACTAGAAATCTCAAAATGTAACAAATTGTGAATATGACAATTTCTAAAACATTTCAACAGAATACTCTAAAACTTTATTTCGCTAAGTCAGCGTATTTTTTGAACTATTAGAATTAGTTTCTTCATTAATTTAGCAGGTTTTTAGTGTTCGCGAATATTCTTTTTATTCTTTCGCACAAAGATGTTTTGAGAACATTCAAGTTTATTATGTTTCCATGTATGTCCGTAAAACAAAAAATTTTTGTTTCATACATAAACTTAAATGTTCTCAAAACGACTAAAAAACCTGGCCAGTTTTTCGCAACTAAATATAATTTCCGTGGTCAGTATTCGAGAGCGATCGCTCCCGCTTCCCGACCAAGCCTGATATATACATATATTTATATATAAATATATATATATATATATATATATATATATATATATATATTGATAAATGTTGTATACTGATGGAAATACAACTCTCGTCTGTTTAAGATTGATTAATAACTTTTTAAAAAAAATAGATTGAATTATATTAAAATAATTTAAATGAAAAAATACATTTTTATAATGGAACTTAAAGTTTCATGGCATTCGGCAATCATCAGCCATATTATTCAAATATAAGATAAAAAACCGTTATAAAAAATACAAGTTTAGCCTTGCAACGGCATCTGACGTCAATTATACGTGATCCAATAATTGCTAATCGCTGGAATCAAAGTTAGTAAAAATTTTTTCCTTTGCCTATAAGCAGAAACTAGTTCACTTTTTTTGTTAAGTAGTAATCAGCTATCAAAAGTTATAATAAAATATTTTCCATTGATGCAAAGGATACACTTTTTTGCAGATGGGTTAAAAACAATGCACTGTTAATTAAAAAAAAAAAAAATAAATTAAAAGATTGACATCTTTTAATTATGTTCCACTTAATTATAGGCATGTTACCTGCGTCTTTATGTTTCCAGATTTCCTTGGAAAGTTCCGTATCATTCCTATACCTGGTTGCATTAAATGATACAAGGTGGTTTGCAAATCTGAGTTTAAATGTGTTTTCACTAATTTCGATGTAGGATTTTTCTGTAAGAATGGGATTAGGTGATTCTAAAGTGGCTTTATATACAACATTTTTTGATAGACATTGGTTATTTAACAGGCATGTGGTTTTTTTAATGCAGCTGCAACTTATATCATTAATGGTGAGTTTATAGCAAAAAAATTGTAGGTTGTGTGAATTAACAATTGATCGAATATTTGGCATGCAGCTGTAACTAATTTTTATTGTATTTTTGTTTAATATTTTGTGGCTTTTTGTTTGCTTCATCGCCGCAAAATAAGCAACACTTTTTTAAACAAAAAAGTGATTCACTTACGCACGCTTTGGTACAAGGTGGATTATTTTCAGATATGCTTACTTGATCTATATCTTGCTGTCTTTTAAATGCAGCAATAGTATTCTTCTGAGTATACTTTTTACTGCACACCACATTAAATGGCTCCAATCCTAATAAAAAATACTACTTGATGCTATTCACTGCAATATAACGTTCAACACTAAAGTATTTCATTGTTTGTAATTTTGTTCCATAAATTTTGGGAAGTCAGACGAGAAAAATCAATTTAAAAAATTATTTTATTGTTCTTATACAAGATCAAAGAAAAACTGCTGAAACAGTTTATTCAAAAATGAGTTATAACGCAGTTCGCATTTGTTTGATCTATTTCTATGCTAAAACATTTTTTTTTTTTTAAAAAAAACAACCTTTTTTTATACCTTTGACCTTGAATAACTTTTTTTGCAGATATGGGATCGATGGGGACTTTTAATACTTTATTTGTAATAATGTGCTCAAGGTATGTACCAGTTTTCAGCTCTATACAAATTATTGCAAATCTACCACTATTTCTTTTGTCTATTTTGACCAGATTAAATTCATAAAATTATAAAAACCCAGATTGCCTGGGTTTTATTGAGTTTTTTTAGGTGGGTTTTATTGGATTGATTGGGCAGGTTTTATTGGGCAAGTTCATTTGGTTTTTTTTAATGCCAATCCTGTATTTGACAAAAAGCATGCTTAAGTTTGCAATTTTCACAATGGCTAAAACTCATAACTTAAAATATCAAAAAGTTCTACATCGCCCCCTGTATATATGTATGTATATTTAATAATGAACCCAAATCTGAAACATCAAAAAATTTTCTATTAACAAAATATATATATGTTTTGTGGTTGTATACATTTATATATATATGTATACATGTATATATATATATATATATATATATATATATATATATATATATATATATAAATGTATACATATATATATATATATATATATATATATATATATATATATATATATATATATATATATATATATATATATATATATATATATATATATATATATAAATGTATACATCAATAATGAAAGTGATATGAAATAATGAAATGTTCACCTCCCTGAGGCCAAGAGTGCTATTGGAGTCAAAGAGGCTACTTTATTGAGGTGAAACCCTCTCTCAACTCTTTATTTCTGAAACAGTAACCTTTACGAACAAGATTGCAGAGAAACAATTAAATAAAGAGCTGTTAAACTAAGTTAAATTAAAATTAAGTTTTATAAAAATTAAATGTTATAATTAAATATTTAATAGAGTTAAATATTATCAGCACAGCTAAATTGTTATTTGTATATATATATATATATATATATATATATATATATATATATATATATATATATATATATATATATATATATATATATATATATATATATATATATATATATATATATATATATATATATATATATATATAATAGCAGATAAATAATAAAAATAATAATTTAATTATTATTTTTATTATTTATCTGTAGTTTTATCTGTATAATTTATATTTTATTTAGTTTATTTTTTTAATGTATTTATTTCAGTTCTATGGGCACAATGGAATGATTGGTCAAGTTGCAATGTTTCATATGGAAATGGTTTCAGGAAAAGAACACGAAACTGTAATCTATCAAATAATATATGTTGTGATGATAGCTATGAATTAAAAGAATGCTTCAGTAAATAAATAGATAATTTCATTAAATAGATAATTATTCATAACTCTAGTTATTATTGTTTTTATTTAATACTATTTTCTGGTTATTCAAAAATTTAAGAGCTTTTAAATATTGCGTGTTTATTTTTGCTTAAAGTTGTGATTATAATAAAAAGGATAACAGCAAGCAAACTTTTAACTTTTTTATTATATACTGATAGTAGTAAATAACTTGTTTTAAACTTGTTTTTAACCTTTTTTAACCATGTTTTTTAGCATCATTTTATTTGCAGAATGAAACTCAATTAGTTAAAAACAACCTTGTTACAACATTAAGCACACTTTTCAAAGAATACACTGTGTCCTTTGAAGTAAAACTAACAGCTATTAAGGGCAGTACACTTAGTGTCTTTCATTTGACAACCAGTTATGATTATGGTATATATGGGTATCGCACACCAGCAATGTGGGTTCAAGATCCTGGGGTATTTTATATTTGTTCAGCTGTAAACAGCAATTTTGATTTTTGCCAGGTTACAAAAGTTATTGTACCTAATAATTGGAATTCAATTAAAATATCGCAAGAACTTTTTGAAGGGAAGTACATATACTCAATTGAACATAATTGCATAACTGTATTTACTCAGGAAAATACTGATCCACAAGAATTTTCAAATGTTCAAGTATATGTTTCAGATCCTTGGTATGAAGTACAGCCTGGGCTAATTAGAAATTTTAAAATTACAAATGGAAAACCAGGTCAAGCAGGTAAAAAACAATATTTCAATTTTATGTTTTTAATATTAAAAATGTGGGGAAAGTTTAAAATATCAAAAAAAAACAAATGGAAATTTAGAAAAAATAACATCCATGACAATAATAAAGGTATGCTTTATCATTGTCATGGATGAAAAAAAAACAAAGAACTAATTGCATTAACATTTTCATACTATGAAAATATATTAAAAAAAATATATTTTACTCTATTTAAGGTTAATAAGATAAATTTTTATTTTATTTGTTTTATTGATATTGATCACTAAACATTATAACAGCATACTAATAGTATTAATCAGAAAATGTTTGCCCTTTTGACTTGATTATCCACTTAAACTGAGCAAGTTTCTATAGTTCATTCAAGAGATTCATTCTTGGCTTATCTAGGTAGTTATTTCTTACTTTTTTATTAAGTTTTGTCTTGATATTAAAAACCATAGCTACAATAAACCAGATTACAATAACGCATATTATGTAAACACATAACATAATTAACTATAGACATAGATGACATTTCTTCTAGTATTTTCCGATACTTAAGACCTAATCTTCATCATTATATAAATAATCCAAAATTATATATGCTATAAAAAAATTTCAAACCTCTAATTAAGACTATATTTATTTACAAAGCTTATTATCAAATAACTCTATCTGTTAGATAGAATTATTTGATAATAAGCTTTGTAAATAAATAGCAAATAGCAAGATAGAAAACAGAATTATGATGGGAGGGGGAGGACAAGGGTATATTCTTCAAGGTCGCCGCAGTATAATTTACGGCAAAAGTTATAAATTTTCTAATAAAATGTTTAAATACGTGCAATTGTAAGAATAACTCATATCTATTCCAGGAACAGTTTTTATAGGGTATAATTGGGGGGGGGGGCATAATTTGCTTTTTATGACACAATATTTATTCTGCAGTGTGCCATACATACTTACTGCCTGCGACTACTAGTGTAATTATCACATTATTTTTCATTTTATAATTACTTGGTTAAATAAATTTATTTATTTTTCAAAAAATATTGTTGGAACAAAACTAATATTTTAAAATTTTTCTTGTAGAAAAGGCTAAATGTCACATAATAAAAAAAACTCGAAAATATTGTAAAGAGCATGTTCAAAGAGGAAGATTATGGTGATAAAAATGTTATGATAGTGAGTTTAGTGAGGAGAATATAGGCGCAAATGGTATTGACAGTTTGTTGGAACAAAGTATTTCCGGCAAAATAAGTAAACAATATAAAGAAAACAAAGAAAATGAAGAAAACACTTTCTATGAGAATTTTTTTATTGGAAACGACAAGATAACTAAATTTTGTAAATTTGAAAATAAAAAAATTTCAAAAATTAAAAAAATTAACGTAGTAAAAAAATCTATTTGCCTACAGCAATGTGCTAAGTTTATCACTAATGAACTAGATGTATTTTGAAAATTGTTGACCTAAATGTGATAAATGCAATTGCGACAACTAAGTCAAAGAAATGAACATACATATTCTAGAAAACCAGACGCCAAGAAACAACAAAAAGTAAATTTCTGGCTTATTTGGGTCTTCTGTTAATGATTGGTATCAAAAAGTCTCATCATATAAATGAAGAAGTAGTTTGGACAACTGTCAGAACTGGAATACAAATTTGTAGAGCAGTAATGATTTACAAGTCTTTTTTATTTATAATATGCTTTCTGAATTGTGACGATAAAACCTCAGAAGTTAAAAGACAAAAAGTAGATAGCCGCCATTTGTTTCTCGATGCATTTGTGCATGATTGCAAGGCTTGCTTTAAATTAAGTAAATATACAATGATTGATGTTATGTTGCATCTGTTAAATAACATATTTTCTTAAATTCATTGACTTTTTTTGTGAAAATATTGTTTTTTTCTATAATTCTGATAGTTCTGCTAACCTATGTGAATATAAAATAGTGAAAATTATCTTACATTGTTTACAAAAAGTTAACTGCGTGCCTGCCTGAAGGTTAAGAGTTATGACAAGTTAATATCTATCATTATAAATTTTTAAAGAAAATTTAATTTAAACTCGGCATTAGTAGCTCAATGATTATATGTGGTTTTCTCTAAACAGTTAGGTTGTAGCAGTCAAAGGTTTCGACTCCTTATACTTGGATGAAAAAGTATTATTTATGTGTTTTTTTAATCTTGCCTATTTTTTAATAATACAATAACATAAATACAAAATGTCAAAGCAAAACAATTTGAAAAAGAACACTTTTAATTATTATAAAATTTTTAAAACTTTTCTTATACTATACATAAATGATCCTTAAATATCTGTAAATGTTTTTTGTTTTGTGATAAAATATAATGGTTTTCAACTATTTCGTTAATAAATTTACTAAGAAGCATAAAAGTGTTAAATTATTACAATCAGTAATGTTTATAAAAAAGTTTGTTTTTCACAACTATTTTTAATAACTTTTTAGTTTAGTGAGCTATCATCAGTTATTTTAAAGTTATTATATCTAACACAGTTATTTTCAATAAACATCAGTTATTATAAGTAACAGTAATAACTAACATTATATTACAAATAACATTATAACAAACAAACAACATTATTACAACATACATTATAACAAATCAGTTATTATAACTAACATTTATTATAAATTAAACATAAGTTATTATAACTAACACAGTTATTTTCAATAACTTTGTAGTTTAGTGAGCTATCATCAGTGCCAAAAACTATAATTAATTGCTATGCAAAAAACTCTAAGAGTTTTTTTTAAATACAGAATGAAACAGTTTACACAAAAAATACTTGCAATTTCTATAAAATTTATCTTAATCTAATTAGATTTTTATAAAAGTTATATAAAAATTTCTATAATTCTATATAATTTCTATAATTCTATATAATTTCTATATAATTTTATCTTAATTTAATTAGAATATTAATCTAAATTATTAAAATTTTCTTTTATAAATTATAAATGTTAGAAAAATTATATAACATGTTATACTACCCGCAAATTTAACTTTACCTACTGACATTTACAATCACATATATTTGTATGTAAGGGTATACAAATGGATTTTTTATTTTAAATGTAAATGGCATATTGTTATCAATTTACATAAGTTACATATTTATGTATTTACATAAACCTTTTATACATCTCTAAAAAAAAAAGAATCTTTCTTGGCATTAACTCAGGTTTTAAGGCTGCAGTGTGTTCTGTGCAAATAAGCGCAAATATAATATAATATGATTTAAATCTTTTTCAATATTTTCATATTTGTTCAAGTTTTTTTGAAATAGCCATGGTCAATTTGCCTGGTCATATAAAGTTGTACGATCGCACGTCTTCCTGTGAAAAATTGTAGCATGTTTTAGTAATTAATAATTAGTTGACTTTTGAGCCTTCTATTATTTTTTTAAGTGTTAATTTTTCTTATAACAATAATATCTGATATGCTTAGCAAAAAGACTGTATCTGATAAAAAGAAATGTTTATATATTAACATGCATAAAAGTATATATATTTTTATCGATCATGCATCTATGATCTATAGGATAATCCTTTTTTGTTTTCTATTGAAAAAAAGAAAAAAGAAATTGTTCAAGCTTAACTACTTAATCTTATTGTAAGATATTGTTTAAATGATTTATTATAACTTTTATTTTAATACACTTATTAAATATTTTTATTATATATTTTATTTATTGTTATGTAATAATTGTATTACAATTACAAAATAATTAAAAGATACCATTACAAGTGTATAAATAGCAGAAAATATTAATGAAAATAAAATAAATAAAATGGATTTTGATTTTTTAATTAGATTTAACTTTTTAGATAAATTTGATTTTTTAATTAGTTTTAACTTTTTATATAAATTTATATAGTTAAAACATTTCTTTAGCTGTTTGGTCACAGTGGAATGATTGGTCAAGTTGTAATGATACTTATGGTTATATGAACAGGACAAGAAAGTGTAACACCCAAAATCTTTCTGATTGGTGCTGTGGCAACAACTTTGACACAACGGAATGCTATGGTAAAATTTTTTTGTAGTTATGTCGTAAAATACTAAGTTGCCTCCTCAAGACTGAAATGAGGAAATACAGTGTTTTATATACTAATAGATATAATATAGAGGCTTAAGTCAACATAAGTTATCAACATGTACTTTTTTATAAGTTATTAACATATTTTATTATTATTATTATTGTTATTGCACACTGCAAGAAGAGAAACCCCCTGCAACAGAACATGAGTACATGTTCTGCTCTAAGCAGATCAGGGGCTTAGTGCTGTTTCATTGTTAATTGTTATATCTTAGTTTGATATTTCTTTCCGTCAAAACTGTTTTTAAAACTTTCAACACTCTTCTGGAACACAGTCGAATTGCCCAAATTATTCCAGTGATTGACAACTCTGTTAGTGAAAAAGTTGTGTTGGTGAGCACAGTTTTTTACAATTTGGCGATGTAATTGTTTATGATATCCTCGTTGTGGAGCAATAGTTTCTGGTTTGGTATACCAGTTAACATGGTCTAATTTATTCTCAACATTGTACTGTGAATACAGTCTGCAAGCGCTCTTCTATCTGTTAAAATTGTAAGATTAAGAATTTTCAACCTATTTTCATAACTAAAATTTTTAAGCAAATGAGAAACTTTTGTGGAACATGAACATTGAACATGCTCAATGCATTTAATATCTTTTTTTGAGTAAGTATTACATGCAGTCACATCAAACTCTAAATAAAGTCTAACATAGGTTATGAATAAATATTTCCAGAGGTTTATATCCCTACTCAGGAAAAAGCTTTCTATCCATTTCAAGATACTGCTGGCTTTGGAAGCACATTTTGTTGCATGCCTTTTCCAATTGAGATTAGAAGTGATTATCACACCAAGGTGCCAGTCAGAGTCTGTTGAGACTAAAGCATGACAAGTTTTTCCAAAGGATATATTGTATCTAAATTTAGGGTTACCATAGCCAAAATGCACAACTTTACATTTATCAACATTCAGTTTCATGAGCCTAATTTCTGTCCAAGTTACAATTGCATTTATTTCTCTTTTTAATTTTTGGGAATCTTTTTTATTTGATATACCGGTTATTAATTTATTGTCATCAGCATATAGCTTACAGAGATAATATTTTAAGACATTTGGAAGATAATTTATATAGATTATAATTAACAGTGATCCCAGAACACTTCCTTGTTGTAAGCCGATAGTGACATTAGCCTAATTTGAAATGCTATTTCCAAGATCAACACATTGTTGCCTGTTTACTAGAAAGTCACATTTGCTAATCTTTACATGTCAGGGATAACTCCTTCCTGTAATGAGCTTGAAATTATCATAAAAAGTTGATTGGAAAATTTTAGGTGGAATGCTTTTAGTGTCCAAGGATTGGACACTAAAAGCATTCCACTTAAAATGGAGCCCCCATTGACCCCTTAAGCTTTGTTAATGTCTAAGTTGAATAGATGTTTACTAATTTCTTTAATGGACAGAGTGGGAAGTCTTATATTTGCTGATGTACGATTCTCAAAATGTGGTGCCAGTACTTGATTCCTCTACAAATACACATTTAAAATAACCATTAAGAATGTCGCTAATGTCTGTTCCAGAGTTTGATACTGAGCCATCGGTATTAGTCTTATTGCTTATCAACTTGGATGCTGTTTGCTTCAGTTTCACTTAGCCATGTAATCACTTTTTATTTAATTTATCATCTACAAATTATTTTTCATAATCTTATTTAATTTTATAATACTCTTTTTACTTCTTTTCGCACTGTTTTATAATTGTTGATAATGGATATAATATAATTTTTGAATGAGTTTGCTGTACTAGTATCCATAATTGTTGTTTTCTTTTAATTAAATGTTTTAGTGATCTGTTCATCCAAGGTGGTTGCATTTTGAGATTTTTAGAGGATTTTACAGGTATGCAAATGTTTATCAGCCAGTTGTATCCTTTTAAGAACATGTTATAGGGATCATTAGTTTTTTTGTTGATAAATAGATGATCCCAGTCAACTTTGCTTAGCTCAAAACTTAGATTTAGGAAGTTACCTTTCATATATTATAACTTGATCTTTTGAATGTCTGTTTATAAACATTGGCTATAAATATGTTCCAGCAAATTGATACATGAAATTGTTCAGTATTATCACTTAGCGGTGGATTTGACTCTACACTTAAAAAATTCACCATAGATTTAACGGAGAATGTCCGGCAGCAAAGTGACAGTGTTTTCTCCGTTAAAATTGACAGTTTTCGTAGTTTCTATTTTCTGTAAAAATCAAAGAAAAACGTCCAAAAAAAAGATCTTTCTCTGTAAAATTTACGAGTTACGTATTTCATTTTTTCTATACAAATTAATGGAGAATGTCAGGCAGCAAAGAGACAGCACTTTCTCTTTAAAATTTATGCTTTCCGTATTTCATTTTTTCCTTAAAAATCCATTAATTCAAGAAATAGACAGTTAACTCATTTTACAAAGTTGACGCGAAACTCAAAAATAAATTAGTAGAATTTATATGTTTTTATAAAAATATAATTCAACAATTAAGAAACTACTCGTATTTGAAAGGGACCACCAAGTCCCAAGACATATTGTGTTCATATTAAAGAGAATGTTAAAAACAAATGTCTGAGGAAATTTTTTTGATTAAAACTAATTAATAAATGTATATCAAAAAAAACAAATCTTGTTGTTTTAGTCGAAGCTTGTCTTCTCCATTTTCTGTGGTATATGCAGTCTTTAAAATAAACTTGATTTTTAAGGCGCATTATACAGACTTGATAATTTATTCAAGTGCGTTTAATTCATAGGAATTTTTGAACATTAAAAACATTCTAGAAATTCTTAAAAATTTTACGATTAAATTTTATGATATTTTTGATTTTAAAAAATTGGAATCAATTTTTTTGAGGATTGCAAGAAAATGTTATTATTAAGTTGATGATTCCACATATAGAATAAATACAAGTCAAACTTTTATTTGTTATTCACGATGTTGTTTTTTAAGGTAGTAGTCTACCTTGAAATATGAAAATTTTCAAAATTTCAAATTGTACTGTTTTACCCAATATCATATATGTAGAAAATGATGGTGATATTTGTTTTTCAAAAAAATATTTATAACTTTACGATTTTATCATTAATTATAGGTGGTATAATTTTTTTAATGAAAACTGCATAAAATTTGCGATTTAAAAAAAATAAAAAATTAAAATCGGATCTTTAAACAAAATTTAAAAAACAAAGCCTACTTGAACTTGTTTTAATCATTGGTAAGCATCTATAAGTAATCCAGGACATCCACATGTAGTTTTAAAGTATAACCAAAAGTATAACTTGAAATATATTCGAAAAGATTTAATAGAAGCATGCTTTTGCTGCTGACAGATATATTTTGTATTTATATATTATATTTTGTATTTATATATTAGTTTTTAATTTACAATAATTTATTTGATTCGTGCTAGAAGTCCTACTAGTGTATTCAGTTAGATGGTTATGATTATTATTCAAGTTTAGAAAAAAATAATAAGTATGGAAAATAAAAAACTTGATGCTGGAAAAAGGCGAAAGGCAGGAGGATCAAGAATTAAAAAAAAACGACGTTTTTATGGCAAAGGTTTTTTTAAAGCTCCTGAACCCAACATTGACTCAAAAAATAGTCTTGTTAATAACATATCTTCAACAAGTAATTTAAATGCTTCAACTTCATCAAAGAAACTTACATTATTAAATCATAAAGCAACAACAGTATCAACAAAACGAACTTCATTACCTAATAACAAATCAAATTTTCCACACTGTTACATCATGTTGGATAGCTTTGTTTTAAAAAGTAGATGAAATTGCTATGTGCCCTCAATGTCAATCAAGGAGTATTGAACTTTCTACAGATTTATCAAGAAAGAAAGGACTGTCTGTTTTATTAGAGTTTACATGTTCAGCCTCAGTCTGCTCATGGAGTAAATTGGTTTACACTAGCCAAGAAATTGATGATGAATCGGGTGGGCAATATCAGATCGGATGTAAATTATGAGATCCATTATTGCTATGAGGGAAATAGGAAAGGACATGCTGCTTTAACAACCTTTTGTGGTTTTATGAATTTACCTCCACCAATGCATAAAAAAACATTTCATGATATTCAAAGGAATATATTAGTGGCTTACAAACAAGTTGCTCTAAACTTTATGAATAAAGCAGCTGTTGAGATTAAGCAAGGTCTTGGCGAGAACAAGACAGATATTACAGTTTCATGTGATAAGACTTTTACTAAGTAAGTTTACTGAATAAGTGTTTGCATGGGCAAACACAAAACAACAATGAATCGTTAAATGGAATTATTTGGAAAAGATGTTCGAAGGATATTTTTGTTGCTAGAGACACATTAGAATTTGGTGTCTCATTTGCAATCATAAATTTTAACAAGGAAATAAATGGAGTTTTAAATGTATTTGCTATGCTAAATATGTATAATGAAAAATTTATGCAAGAGTTTTGCACAAATAAAGTTTTTGTAAGAGTCGCTAATATGAATCTTAAGTCTACTCCGAAAGTCAAGCTTAAACGGAAAAAAAAAAGAGCTCAGCGTAAAGGATTTGCAGATGCCAATGAAGAAATGGAAGGAATAGTGAATGAGACTGGTCTTTTTTAAATTATTTTTTTCTACGTTATTATACTGTTTTTTCTACATTATTATATATAGCGTTTTACTAATTTTCAATTTACTAATTTATTGCTTTATGCATTTTTATTTTTTTCTTGTTTTTAAAGTGGTTTTTAAACTTTGAAGTCTTATAAAAACATTTCTAAAGCCAATAATGATTTAAAACAGTTTGTTTTTTAAAAATAATGCTTTATTAATGCAATTTGTGAGTTTTTGGCTTAAATTAGACTAAAAGAGTTGGGTTTTATTTTTCTTTTCTGTTTTTCTCAAAATAAGGTTTTTTGAAACGGTGTAATAAATAACTTTTCTCAATTAAATGCTATGGACCTGAAATTTGGTACATTGA